TTTGTCGGGTAGATTTTCCTACCCGATCCTTTTGGCCGCGAGAGCCACGTTTCCGTTGCCTGGTTGGCGGACTGTCCAATCTGGCGCCTTCCCTGGGTGTTCGCTGGGAAAACTGAGGTTACTCCTTCAAGCGCGGCACAGTGGGCCAGAGGACCGGTGGAGACGGCCAAAACTGTAGACGCGTTTTGAGCTCCAGAGTCGCTAAATGGGACTCGAACCGAACCTGTGACCCCACTTTGCTCTCCGCATGAGGAATCGATAGATGGGGTCACACGTTCGATTCGAGTCCCATTTAGCGACTCTGGAGCTCAAAACGCGTCTAGAGTTTTGGCCGCCTCCACCGGTCTTCTGGTCCACTGTGTTGGGTTGGCAGCCCTGCCTTGTTCTTTCCCGCGCTCCGCGCTCTAGGCCGCGTTGGCCGCGTGGGGGGGCTCTACTCCGCCGCGGCGGCGCCCCACTCCACTGCGATCCGCGGACCGCACGTGGTGTTGTTGTTGTAGCTCTGTCTCTCTCTCTTTGTAATTAGAGCTAGCCGGCTCGGTTTCCCATCTAAACGCGCGTATGTGTGTGTCTGCCGTCGTGTTGTAGTGTAGCAGTAGTACCTCGTCGGCTCGACTGGAGTAGACTCGCTGACCGCCGCGGCTGTTAAATGACCCTTCTCTGGTTCCCTCCCCCTTCCCCCTCCCCTTCTTCCGGTTGGGGAGTCGGACTGTGAAATGAGGTGTCTGGCGCGGAAACGGGCCAAAGGCAGCCAAAGGCACAGTTGTCCCTGTCCGGCGATGTACCGTGCCGACTGCCGGTGCAATGTTTGGCTGCGCTGCGCCGACGCGGGGGAGGGGGAGAAAAGGGGGAGGGGCGAGGGGGAGTTGAACCCGGGCCACCCCGACGCGGTCCTTATCGGACATGGCCGGTGCATTAGCGTCCGCGGCCACCGCGCCGCCGGGCTGGCGGCGTCACGGTTAGACAGTTAGAGAGGCCCGGGGCTAAATTTGGAGCCGCGTTCATCAATCGGACTGCCGGTCGGGCGCATTCCTGTCTCTCCTCGAGAGACCGTCTCCCTTTCCATTTCTCTCTAATCATCCCGGTTGAGGCCATCTCTCTACCCAGGGCGTCTCTCTAGTCCTAGAGCAGCGGCTGGGCAAACCCGGCCTCGATGTTGACGACGCGCGCGGCTCGTACTAACGAGTTGGAGAGACACATCGATGGCCTGAGAGCGTCGTGTGTCTGTCTGGGGCGTTTGGCTGGGCGCGCCGCGCTGTGTCCGTTGGGGATGGCCATGGCCCGAACAAAGACTATCCATCTCTGGGCCCCTGGGCGGTGTCGGCGTCGCGTGTACAAACATGCAGGCCACGGCAAGCCACGGCAAGCCACGGCAAGCCACGCCAAGCCACGCCACTGCAAGGCGCGGCCACTGCGCACCGTGGCACCGCGGCGGTGGCGCCCGCCAAGCCCGCCAAGCCGGCCTACTGCGTTGTTCGTCGGCCGCTGCGTCGCTGCGTCTCGAGGAGTCAGCAGCAGCAGAAGATCCTTTGCCTACACTGTTTAATTGAATGGAAAACATTCTGAAAGGCTTCGATTTTTGAAAAGATTTTGTACTGAACCTGCCGGTGTACCTAAAAGCATTTGTACCTACAGCTTTTGAAAAATTGACACTGAAATTTGGAATGCTCGTTTTGGAGAGTGTGTGTCTGTGAAAAGGACGAGTGCTCTCTAAAATGGAATGAATGAATCGAGAGTGGCGCTCGGGTAAAAGGGGGGATTTGTGTCGGCTGGCGTGTTGGTGTGTGTGTGTGTGCCGCGCCGCGATGGTCTGATTAATTATGTCACGTTGGAGTGGTGTTGTCGCGCCGCCCAGCTGTGACAGCTGTGACGCACCCGCGTGACACGCTGTGACACCTGCGCACGATTCGTCTCTCTCGCGCCTCCAGTTGCGCAAGCGGCCGCTTCGTGTTTTGGCGGCGCCCTGGTCTGGTGATATGACGCGTGGTCAGTGGCGGTCTCTCTCGCACCCCTGCGGCGCGGCCCGCGAGTGCGAGAGAGACGGAGAGTGGGGGCCGTGGCCAGTGGTGGGTGGCTGGCCGGATGCTGCAGGACGCGGCATCTTGTTATTTCGAGTTGGCAAAATGCTGCAGACCGATTTCGCGCAGCGCGTCGTCGCGGTCTCTCTCGCACCCCTCGGGCGCGTCCCGTGAGTGCGAGAGAGACAGAGCGACTCTCTGCCGGGCGCCCCGCATCGGCTTGGCTGACGTACGGGGGCGTCTGGGGCGCTTGGCGCGCTTGGCGCCACCACCGGCCACCGGCTCCGCCATTTTCCACCGACTGGTTCTCCTCGATTAAATTTTGGGCGGCTTTGGGAAGCGCGACTGTTGCCGCGACGCCTCGGCGGTGCGGCGGTGCACTGCAAGGCGCTGAATTTAGTACTGAATTTAGCGTGGATTTAGGAGGCCGCGGCTGGGCGATGACGTTCGAGTGCCGCCTCCGCGCGGCGTCGCTCTGGCTCTCTCGCGCGCTGGCGAGGCGCCGCGCGAATGCGAGAGAGACAGAGCGACGACAGCCCCACCGATGCACTTTTGGCGGCAACTTTGAAATAAGCTGGCGGTAACTCGCCGGCGCGGGGCGGGGCGGCGCGCAGATGGGGTGGTGTTCGGCGCGGCGGCCTTCTTGGTGTGTTGACAGTCGCGGGCTGGGGGCGAAGTGCGTCGCTCCGTCTCTGTCGCTCTCGCGGGGCGCCCTGCAGGGGTGCGAGAGAGACGGAGCGACTGTTGGCGCTGGCGGGGGCAGGGGCAAGGCGCAAATATCTTCCCTCTCCCTTCCCCGCCCCTGTCGGCGCCAAGGTCTCGCGTCCGGTCCACTCACGGGGTCGGCGGTTTCGAGTCTTCGGGAGTGTCGCTCGTCTGCGAGTCTCCGAGCTGCTCGCTGCCCGCAGCGCACTCGAGTCTCACAGCTACCCTCGATGCGATTTGCCGGGCCGGCCGTCGCCGCGTCCGCGCTCCACAGTGTGGAGGCGGCCAAAACTCTCGACGCGTTTTGAGCTCCAGAGTCGCTCAACAGGACTCGAACCGATTGTGTGACCCTCGTTCGGAGAGCAATCCATTGGTGGGGTCACGCGTTCGCTTCGAGTCCCATTTAGCGGCTCTTGAGCTCAAAACGCGTCTAGAGTTTTGGCCGCCTCCGAGAGTCGGTGGTGAACTGTAGCACTTCCAAGCTTGCCTTCTGGGTTGTTCTCGGCCCGTCTGGCCCTTTTAGGCGGGGTGGTGTGCAAAGGGACGGCACTGGGTTAGGCCCAAAGGACACACGGCTAGAGGCGCCTCTCCGGCTAAAGGGATTGTGAAGGGCCGTGCTGCTGAGCAGCTTCTGTTTGCCTGTCTGTCTTTGCCTCGTCCACTTAGCGCCCTGCCGCCCTGCCCTGCCCTTTTAGGGTCCCAGCCTCCTGCGCGCCTGTCTCTCTCGCACTCACGGGACGCCCCGTGAGTGCGAGAGAGACAGCGACAATGCTCAGTCGGGAATCGGTATGCAGGTTCGCTGAGACGAAGTCGGACACCCGCCCGACTTCTTTGTTTTTCGATGCCATATCTCGGCTAAATGGTGTGGTGGTGAGACGGCGAGAACCCGGAGGAGAGAGAGAAAGCACAAATCGATCCTAATTTTTGACGTATTGGGTCGGCGTGCCATCGCCACGTCGGCTCTGTGCGCTGTGACCACCTCGTCGTCGGTAACGTGAGGCATCGGGGCATCCCGGCCCCACCGCTGACACCTGATCCATTTTGGACCCCCTCTCCTCCACTCCCCTTTTTCACGTTTCGTACACCTCCTGCCCCCTCCCCTCCCACTCCCCCAATCCTCCGGACGTGCCGCGGGCGATGCGACGCACTAAGCTAATAACGCTGCAGCCCTGCACTGCACACGTGGTGAAATGCGATGCGGTCATGGGCGCCCTGGGTTCGAATCCCTGCACGGCCGCCATTTTTTCGAGGTTTTTATTTTTTGGCGATTGATGGAGTATCGAGTCGTGTCGATTGGCGTATCGGACCCAAGCCGGCGCCCTTGTCTGGAACGTGCTTTGTTGTTGGTTCGCCGAGGGTGTCGTCGTCTGCCGATGTGGGTCGTTGGCTCGGCGTTGCGCGGGGCTGCGGGGCTCCCAAGTATGTGGGATTTATACTGGTGGCGGGGCCAAGCGGCCAAGCACGCACTACACCGCAAGCCGCGCCAAGCGTTGGTTCGCGGTGCTGCCGCGCTGCCGCCACCCCGTCGTCGCCCGCTCTTGTTGTTGTTGTCGTCGTCGTCGGTGCGCTGATTGGCGCCCACACCTGCCGGATGACGCGGCGCCCCGTTGTCCAGGTCGTCGCCGTCCTCGTCGTGACGCAGAGCTGCATAAAAAGGTCCAGGACCTCCTCGGCGGTGTCGCGCCCCGAAGGCGGGGAGGGGGCAGGATGGCGATGCATCCCCCGCCCGGGGGCAGGCCGGCAGGGCAGGCCGGCAGGCCAGGGTGGGGCCGACAGTATAAAAGTGTGCGGGTGGTCGCGCGCCGCCCAGTCTGCACTGCACCGTCGCGATGGAACCAGCCGCCCCCGCCGCCGCGTCCGAGACGGCTCCCGCCGCCCCCGCGCCTGAGGCCGCCCCCGCGCCTGAGGGTGCCCCCGCGGAACTCGCGGACCCAGCCGCCGCGTCCGACGTCGTCGTCGAGGCCGTCCCCGTCGAGACCGTCCCCGTCGTCGAGACCGCCCCCGCCGCCGAGGCCGCCGAAGTGGCCGTGGAGCAGGTTCGGTCGTCGCTGATCGTAGGGGTCCAGGCCCTGCGTGTGACCCGCCCTGGCCCGCCCTGGCCTTCTGTCTGGCCTTTGGTGTCGTTACGTCAATTGGGCGGTCCATGGCGTGGGACAGGCTCGCCGTCTTGCCCGCCGTCGGCCCGCCTGTTAACCCCTTCCGACCCAGACTCGCCAATGGAACTGCCTAAGCATAGCGGGCATGCTGATGATGTGCTTTTTCTGTTTTGCTCCGCAGAAGGACGAGAGCCCCGCCGTCGAGAAGGACGCCGCCGCCGAGCCCGCCGCCGAGAAGGAGGCCGCCAAGGAGGCCGAGGCCGCCCCTGCCACCGTGGTCGAGGCCGCCGCCGAGGTGAAGCCTGCTGAGCCTGCCAAGGAGGTGAGCGTCCAAACATTTGAATGGGATAACGAAATGAAAGTGAGCTGCCCCTGGCGGGACTCGAACCAGGATCGTGACCGAGCACCCGTTTGACAGGATGTGCCTCCTCCTCTGCCGCAGTCACCACCCCCCACCGAGGCGCCGCCACCAACACCCGTGGCGCCCACCCCCGCGCCCGTCGAGGAGAGCAAGTCCGAGGCCGTGACGACGTCCAGCGTGCAGTCCGAGACCGTGGTGGAGAAGACCGCCAGCTCCGTGGTGGTGACCAACAGCGTGGTGTCCGAGACCAGCAGCACCGTCACCACAGAGACTGTCACCTCAGCCATCATCACCAACGGCACCACCAATGGCACCACCAACGGCCATGGCATTGATGAGGTAAAAGCAAAGTCTTTCTCTTTGTTTCCTCCAGCCCTCACCTTTTGTCTTTCTATTGTTTCTTTGGCATCTGGACTTTTTGTTGGGTTTTAAAATTTTTTTTTGTTTGGGTAGTTTTGATACAGTGCTCTCACTCATTTGGGCTATCGTTCTCTTCTAAAGACCCAGAGATATCTTTTGCTTTTTGAGGGTGGGGAATAGGTCACAGAGTGATGCACAGGTTTTGTGAGATTGCACTTTCACATAGTCTAAAGAAAAAACGGGATCGGGCCAAAATCAGTTTTCTTTTTTTGCAGTTTCTTGTTTTAGTTAATTATTTCTAAGCACGTATGAAATCAGACTTTGCCTTTCTTCAGCTCCATGATTTTCTTTCTCCTCCCAGGAGTACCTTCCTATCTTGTCTTGATTTTTAAAGAAATACTTTTGGTGAAAGTCTTGCTGACTTAAATGGTGACCGGATGCATTTTGAAGTATTAACCCCCGTAACACTTCACCAAGACGTTTCTTCTTTATTTTAAATTAAAATTTTATCTTTTTCCTTCTGGTTGGAATGTAGCTTTGCAGCGCTGACCTGACACCATACCCTGTGTTATTGTTTTGAAGGTGTCGCCTACTCAGGAAAGCAGACTGGAAGTGCCCGAGATCAGTGTTCAGCCTGCTTCCCCAGTTGTCTCCGAGCGATCCCCCATTGATGAAGTGAAGCCAGATATTGCTGCTGAAGTTCCTACTGCTGAGGCCCCTGTCACTGAAGTCCGTAGCCAACCCGAAATCCAGACTAGTCCTGCTGAAGCACCCGTTGAAGTTCCATCACCCTCTACCCCTGCCACAGCCCCCATGTCTCCTGATTCTACTACCCTTTCAGAAGCCCCCGTCATTCCTACTGTAGAACCTGTACCACCCGCCCTTCCTGAATCTGAATCGGCTCCCATTCCTGCTCCTGTGCCCCCTGTAGCAGCCGAACCAACTGCAGAAACTCCCAAACCAGTGGAAGAAGTCTCTGACGCAAAAGCAGCAGTAGAGGTAGCCCCCGCAGAAACCACCAAATCTGTTATTGGAACCGAGCCCGAAGTAACTCCCCTTCCAGTTCCTGAAGTTCTTGTTCCTAGTGAGGCTTCTGATCTTCCTCCCCCACCTCCTCAAGACCTGTCCCTGGAGCTTGGTGATGCCAAAGACGCTGTGGTTGTGAATGGCGGCTCACCTGTAGACGAAATCCCTCTCCCTTTGCCCACATTAGATATCCTAGGCACAGTTCCATCAACCGTGGCGGAGGATGCTGAGAAGACGGAGCAGACGACACAGGATGAACTCAATGTAGGTGAAGTTGGAGGCGGATGGTAGTTTGAGGCATAATATGTGTGTTTGGCATGCTCGGGAGGGGCATGTTTGATGTTGTTTCAGGTCGTGTATGGCTCTGCATTTAACTGTAACTAATTTTTGCACTTGGCAGACTTTGCTTCTTGTTGGTCTTTCTAAGCAGGTTTGGTGCTGTGGTTCCAGGTAGCAATAGGACTGCACCGCCCACTTCTTCGAGGGCAGTGCATGCATCACATAAGCACACAACAGTGCATGTTGGGACCCCCACCACCTGTTCTCCTTGTCCAGTTTCCTCCCCTTGCTTGTGTGTTGACTGTGGCCTCTGACACTTCCTTGTACGTTTTTTGTTCTGTCCTCTTTTCCAAATTATTTTTCACAGCAAAGTTTTTTTTTTTTGTGGTTTTTCCTCCCCTATTTTCATGTTCATTTCCTGATGTTATCAAAATTCAACACCTGGATTCCCTTTTTTGTTGTGTTTATGATTAATTAAAAGAACTAATTTTCACAAACCTTGCACCATAATCACAAAATGGTGCTTTGTGTCTTTAACATTTGATCAGGTGCTTTTTGGACTAAGTGTTTAGACTTTAGTGTGGACGTTTCATGTTATTAACAGCCAATTTAATTTGCCTTATTAGTCTTGTCTTAATGCGCTGTGTGTATATTCATCAGATTTGAGTACATTGCATTGCATTATTGCGTAAATAATTCCAGTACATTGTGTCAGCATTTTGTTTGTGGATGTAACTCTATGCAATGCCTGAGTATATTGGATCTTGTGTACTGTCTTGTCAATAATGTGAATATCACATGCATGATTTGTGTGGGAGAGGTATTAGGTAGCCAAGAAATTCATAATTCTTGTTTTAAGAAAGAAACATTTGGGAAAATTATATATATATATTTTTGTAGTACAGTGACATTACTCATCATGCAAAAGAAAAGAAAACTATCTATTGGTGGTTTTGAAGAGATACTTGAATAGCTTTGTTATTGGATAGTTTTACAAGACCTGGGGTGGCCCAAATTAACAGTGTTTCAACATTTGTCTAATGTGTTTTATTTGTTGTTCCCAGGACGAGGATGGAGCTGGTGAAAGCCTAGCGGAAGTGTCAGTGACTGAGACTGTTACCAAGGAAGTTTCCGAGACCATCACAGAGGCTGCCAAGGAACTCAATGAAGAAGTTCTGGCCAAGGCAGTTGCCACTGTAACAGAGATCACGAGTGCAGAAGAGGCCAAGGCGTAGACTAAGATTATTTGATTAAAGGTTTGTGCATCTAACCCTTGCCGTATCACATCTAGCCACATTGCTTTGATTGAACATCCTGCTAACATTTGACTTTACTTCCTTCCAGGTATATTCATCAGTCGATTATGAAAGACAAGAGGAGGAAACGACGTGAAGAAATTTTGTGAAGAACATTTTGTAGCCAAATTTGAAATGTTTCTTAATTATGTGAAGTGATTCCTCAAGACGGCCGGCCGAACGTGAGAAATGTGTTGTGAAAAGAATGAAGTGACATGAACTGGAAAGGCGAATTGTGCCTTGCGCCTTGCATCAAGCAATCACAGTGCACGCCAGTGCATTGCAGCGCCATGCGTTGTGTGGTTGGTTTGAATATTGCATTTACAGTGTATATGAACTGTACCAAATGCATGCACATTTTCAGATTTTTGTTTACAAAAGTGAACCTTATCGATTTGAATTTTGATCACTAACTACCATCAGATGGTTACATCACGTTAGTGTGATCTTTTTAAAAATTTTAGCTTTGTATAGGAGGTCATCTCTCTTTTTTAAATGTAGAATTTTAATAGAAAATTTTAATTGGTAGCCAAATTTTGATTATACTGTGGAATTTTTAAATAAATGGGCATTTGAAACTGTATAAATCAGTAAATGGGGAATAAATTCTTAGACCTGCTTTAATGATGTAGCAGTAGATCCAGCTGTGGATGTGGTCTCTTTTTTTTAATTTTTTTTTTCTAGCCTATATTAAAGTTTCTATTTAGGTATAAGTTTATATCTTAGTCACAATCACAAAAAATTTTTGTATGCTGTTTCTATACATATTCTTTTTAACTTTTTTTAAAGTATTTTTCTTAAAAGTATTTTTTTGTAAGTGTACTATTTTTATGCTGGCCCACGTTGCCTTCAGGTGGCTTTAGCAAGATCTCCGCTCTTGTTCATTGTATAAATGTTGCCTTTGCCCAGTATGATTGGCAGCTCACAATATTGCTTGTAAATTTAGAATAATGTGTAATAGCTGAAGCACGCTGAGGTGTATAAAGACAACTCTCAACAACGAAATTGCTTTCAACCGTCTGTTTTTCATCACCTTTTCATTTGGCTTGTTCTATAATGTTAATTACTTCTATTTCGTAGTCCATACTATGTATGCTAAATTATTTCCCCATTTTCGTAAGTTTGAAACTATGAATCCCACCAGATTTTGTATGTGTGAATGTGTTTATAAGAAGTTAAATAGACAATGTTTTCAATCTTAAGAGTTTGTTTCATTGGTTCCTCACAATCCGCTCACAAGAAACTGACCACAATGGATTATCCCAATAAAATAAAGAGACAAAAAATGAATTCAGTCTTATATTGTACTCAGTAGATCAAAAACACTGGCTAAAGGAAAAATTGGGTCAGTAAACAAACTGCCATTAGAAAAACTCACCCTAAGAAAAGCTGTAATAAGAATAACGGTGCTCAGACCGTGACTAGAACGATTTACACATCGGTCCACGTTTCATGTGGATCCATATAGAGCGTTGGCATGAGTACGAAACTCTACAAGACTTTGCGAACAGCAAAGGCCGACTTCCCGGTGCCAGGCTAACCGCCGTCAGGGTAGGCAGCTCCTCGCGCAGGCTTGCCGATTCAGCTGCCACAATCCCAGGAGCTTTATTCTCGCACTCGGAAAAACCGTTTTCAAATGGAGCTCGCTAGAGGCCAGGCCTTACCGCAGACCATTTCGGCCCTGGACAGCCCTTTTCTAGCGCAACGTCACGGGGAAAGTCATCTTCACACCAAGGACCGTTGGGCACCGGTCACCTGTTACATAGACCTATAAGAACGTTCTATATCAATTATAGACATATCTGAGGTGCTCCACCATTTTCGTCTAAAAAAGCTAAGGTCATCATGGTTTTTTGAAGTTGAGCTAAAAATTTAAAATGCACCAAATTCGAGTATGTTCTGCAGGAGCACTCCCTCATGACCCCTGACACTACTTCGAGGACTATTTAGGCCCTAAACAGTATTTTTTCCTCGAAAAAAAAAAAAACAGAATTATTTGAGCTTGCGCCGGGATGGTAGGACCCACCTTCAACCCATACCACCAAACGTCACGAAAAAAAAGCCATTTTCACAGCAAGAAAATTTGTCAAAGACCATTGGTCACCGGGCATCTATTTCTTAGACCCATAGCAACGTTCCACATGAATCTGAGACAAATCTGAGGAAGTCGACCATTTTCGTCGAAAAAAAAGCTAAGGGTCATGGTTTTTGGCGGTTTTTGGCAAAAAATTAAAAATGTCCCAAATTTGAGTATGTTGTGCCGGAGCACTCCCTCATGACCCCTGACACTACTTCAAGGACCATTTGGGCCCCAAACAGTGCTTTTTTTTTTTCGCGAAAAAACAGAATTATTCGAGCATGAGCCAGAAAGGCAGGCAACCCATCGGCCACAGTCTCTCCACTGCGCCAGAACTCTTCTCGGGAAGAGTCATTCTTTTGTGCTACACCGCGCCTGGACGGTAGACCACCCATTTGGCACGTCACAGGGAAGGCGTACGGCTACGGCGATCAGTTGTGGTCTAGCCTCTCAAGTTCAAGTGAAAAACAAGAAACCAGCAAACAGAAACGGCCAGGAGTCGAACCCTGAACCTTCAGCACAGCGTCCGCTCTCTCTCTCTCTCTCTCTCTCTCTCTCTCTCTCTCTCTCTCTGCGCTCTGAGCCACGTTTACTACGCACATTACCAGCACGAGCCATAAGGTCTCGACCTGAGCCAGTGAAGACTTCTCCGAGAGCCTCGGCACCAAAGCGCCCGGAGGTGTGCCAGCAGGGCTGCCGGCGTGCACGATGGGCTGCCTACCGTCACGGCGGTCTGCGCTCCAAGAGCGTTGGTTCGAGCTGGCAGGCCACCCACCCGGCAAGCGAGCACGAGAGCTTCTTCACAAGAAAGAAGAAACAGTGCACAGTTCACCCACGGTACCCTGGGCGAAGGTGAAGAACAACAGTCATAATGGGAAAATAAAGAGTTGAGACGAGGTTCAGGCTGCTGCCGCGAGGGGGCAGCACCGCTGCGCGTTGAATAGGGTGCCTACCTCCGCGGCGCTGGCAGGCTCCGGGCCGCGCGTTGGGCGGCGGGCAGGGTGGGGGCGGCGCGTACCCGAGTCTTACGTAACGGCTTGCCTACTTCGGCCGGCAAAATCGGGCCGCTGCCGCTGCGGCGGGGAAGGGAGGAACTAGGTCTGTGTAGCGAGTCCCTCCAGAGTCTCGCCGCCGTGGCGGGGTGGGGTGGCGCGAGGCGGGCCGTCCACCACCTCGTGACGCCGTGACGATGCCGACGGACGTGGCTGTGGTGCGCTGCGGGGCGCGTCGACGCCGTGCCCGCGCCAGCCCCAGCGTCGCCTCGGAGCCTCGCTCGGAGCTGTCCGCCTACCGCGCGTGCAAGTCTCCAAGAGAGCTCGCCTTCATTTATCGCCAAAACGCGGGTCACTTCGGCCGGAGAAGGCTGTTCCGTCACACAGTGGGGCAGAAGACCGGTGGAGGCAGCCAAAACTCTGGTCGCGTGGGCTCCAGAGTCGCTAAATGGGACACGAACCGAACGTGTGACCCCTACCAATGCATTCCTCTTCGAACGAGGAATCCATTGGTGGGGTCACACGTTCGGATCGAGTCCCATTCAGCGACGCTGGAGCTCAAAACGCTTCTAGAGTTTTGGCTGCGTCCACCTATCTTCTGGTCCACTGTGCGTCGCTCATCTCTCGCGGTAGTACGCCCCACAGTGCAAGCCCCGAGTGTGAATGGGCCAGCCGCGCCAGCCAGGCCAGCCCTTACCTTCCTCTACAAGACGCGGCGGCGCGCGGCGGCCGGCCCCCTCGAACCAGAAGCTCCAAGCCCCGCCTGGGCCAGGCCTGGGCCAGGCCTGGGCCGCCGCCTGCAGACTGCATCCGAACGCCACTCCGTCTCTCTCGCACCTGCACGCGGCGCCCCACGAGCGCGAGAGAGACGGAGCGTCGCGGAGCGTGGCGGTGGAGGTATTATGGGTGGCGCGGCGTGGCGGCCCATTGCGTCATGACCCACTCCACTCAGAACCACTTTCTCTGGCCGGCCCCTTCGGCCGGGCCAGCAGTCCGGCACCGCGACCAGCGGGCCCGGCCCGCACCGCCAAACCTCGGCCGTCGCCGAGGCCGCGGCCACCGGGAGCGAGGTCCGCGACAACGCCCCTTCCGGGCGCCTCCAGCGCCTTCCCGGCCGAGCCGCCGAGGGCGCAGTGGTCCACATCGAGCAGACAATGCACAGTGAAGACCAGTGGAGGCGGCCAAAATTCAAGACGCGTTTTGAGCTTCCGAGCCGCTACACAGGACTCGAGCCGAGCGTGGATTCCTAGTCGTTCGGAGAGCAATCCATTAGTGGGGTCACACATTCGGTTCGAGTTCAATTTAGCGACTCTAGAGCGCAGAACGCGTCTAGAGTTTTGGCCGCCACCACTGGACTTCTGGCCCACTGTGCAATGCGCTTCGTTGCTGCGTCTCTCCAGCATCCGGAACCGTATGAGTTCGAGGGCGACAGAGCACTCTTCGGCGGGGGCGTTGGTAGGGGCACGCGGCACGCACCCCACCCCTGCGACAAGGCCGCGCTTCTTCGCAGGGAATTCCCAGTGCAGTGGGCAGTCCGCGTACACACAGCAAGTACCGCGGAATTCGGCGCGGCCAGGAGAGGGTACGCGACGCGGCGACGCGGCGCTCGGCGGGGTTCCCTGCGTTCCCTGTTGCATAAAGGCAGGCAGGCAGCGGACGCACAGGCGCCCCGCCCCGCCCCGCCCCCCGCCGCGCTGCCAGACTGCGAGTACCAGTGTAGCCGCCCCACGGCCCGACGAGCCAGTCCTGGCCGACACGCTAACCTTGACCAAGGTTACGCCAGGATGCAGTGGCGGGGACGGACGAGACGGCCCGTCTAGCTTCCTTCCTTCCCGCCGTTCCGGACCGTAACTGGAGCAGCGGGGCTCCGTAATCCACGCCGCATCGCTCTGACTCTCTCGCACCCCTGCGAAGCGCCGCGACGCGCCGCGCGAGAGCGACAGAGACAGAGGGGCGACGAAACCACTGCTGCCGGCGATGCGCCGCCGGGGCCGCCTGGCGCGTAGGCAACCCCCGCGCACCCACGTCGAGCACCACCAGGAGGTTGCCTACCTCGCATTACCATTACCATTACGGGCTAGAGCGTACGCCGTTGCGGGACCGACACATGCCCGCCTCCTCTGCAAAACGAGACTTGGCCGTCCTTACTAGGGTGGCGGCGAAAAATCTCCCAGCTCGCCTCTGCGATTTCAGCAGTGGGGGTCACCCGAAACGAATGCGTGAGTGTCGTTGGGTTCCTCGTTCAAAGAGAAACTCAGTGGTACGGACATGCGTTCGATTTCAGTCACATTTAAGTAGTATTTCCTATACATATTTAAAAATAATGCTATATACCACTGTGAAGTAGAAATCCGATCATATTTTTACAGAGTAAAGAGGCTTGGTTACCGGCCGCCTCCCACCCTGGCACATTGAAGGGCCGAAACTCTGGCAGTTCGTCTAGAGGTCCGTCTGCCACGCCTGATTTTGCCGGGCCGGGCAGACACACTGGCAACGCCGGGCTGCATACATCACTTTCACTCGCTCCCCCCTCCGCCTCGTCGGCCAGGCCCGGCCAGGCCCAGCCAGGCCGCACAGTGGGCCAGAAGCCCGGTGGAGGCGGCAACAACTCTGGACGCGTTTTGATCTCCAGAGTCGCTAAATAAGGCTCGAACCGGCATGTGACCCCACCAATGGATTCCTCGTTCAGAGAGCAATCCATTGGTGGGGTCACACGTTCGGTTCGAGTCCCATTTAGCGACTCTGCAGCCCAAAACGCGCCCGGGACTTTGACCGCCACCACCGGCCTTCTGGCCCACTGTGGGCCGGCCCCTGCCTGCAAAACCGAGCCTGGAAGTGTGTCGCGGCCCCCACCCCTTCTCTAGGCCCCGCCAGCCCCGCCAGCCCCGCCAGCCCCGTCCAGGACGGCGGCCTACTTCGGCGTGGTGGGGTGCGCGGCGGCGCTGCGGGACTACCCCCTCCCTTGGCGGGGCCGAATTTGAAGTAGTAAAAGGACGACATCCTTCAGCCTTTGGAGTGACGTCATTCGGTCCACCCTTTGAACCAGCGACTCATTCATTGGGCGTGAAGGCCGACGAGGTTGGCGGGAATCCCTCGGAGTCACCCGTTCACTTTCCAGGAACCAGCTAGCGGA